CCTCGGGCCGATTAAACTACGTCGAGGATGATGCGAGTCTCAAGATACTGCCCTTGTAGTGCGGATGGGAAATACACCAGCACTGACGTTGGTTCATTATGACCATACAGCGGGCACATTGCGATGCACAAATCACCTACAGTGCTATTCTGTCGTGATGATGAGTAGCGCATTTTGGTTTGCTGCACTATTGTGAGGAGGAGGGGCGGAGCTTTGGCCGTTTTAGAATCAGGGAATGGAGCGACAAAACCGGATTCTTGAACCTGGAGAACGCCCAAGACTGAGTTCCATGATGCTCCCGACAAACTAAGACCCTCTATGATGAAAGATCCTCTGGCAAAGCTCCCTTTGATTTGAGGGACAGCATTTAAGGCGACGCCAAATGGCGTTGCGATAAAAGAGAGCGACCTTCCAGAACTGGGATTGGCCAGGTTCCATGAAGCATCGGCGAGTATGGCATTCAAGTAAGTTCGAGGTGAATAAAGAACACCGAGCCACAGGCTTGCTATTTGGCCATTGAGAAGCCACTGACGCAGGTACTCAACACGCCGCTGAAAAGACACACACCACTGCTTCAGCGGAGATGTGGCAGTAATGTGAAATTTGTGAGCCAAAATGAAATGAGGTGCCGCTGCAATCCATGGATCCGGGACATGGCCGATGAGGATAGTCTCTTTAATACTATGAAGCCCAGATGCGGCGCATTGCTGCTCAGCAGGCTCATTTGAAAGCTGGGTCAGGTTATCGTGGCACAATTTGATCACCGCGTTATAACGCCTGATTTCAATTTTCAACGCTAGCATGCGCTCGGGCAGGGTGCATTCACGAGTCATCAAAATGCTGTGATTGTTCTCCAACTGACTGGAACCAGAGTCATCCTTCAAAAAGGGGGGGATTTGTAGATGAAGCAGTCTGTAAAACTCGCAAGATGTGTCTCCTGTTGCGAAGCACGGCAAGCCAGGCCTTGCACAGAGTCGAATTCGTGGGGGTCTCAATATAGCGTCGGTAATATGGGATATGGTCTGCTTATCACCCAAGATCCGATCGCGGGTTGCTCCTTTAGGAATGTTATCCACCGCACAACAACAAAAGATCCTTGTGTTGCGCAGAAGTGTACCTTGAACCATTCTTGATGTCATGGTTGGTACATTGGTAGAGAAGAAGACTTGAAATTTTGTGTTGCCTGCCGATTTCGCGTCGACATCAATCTGACCGAGCCAAGACAAAGACGATGGCGAGAAGTTTTCTATATTGTACACGAGCACCCACTCCCCGTTCTCTTGCGCGTCGGCCATCAGCTGCGGTGTTGCTCTGACCTCTGCAGAAGGATTTATTGCTCTGGTGGCTTCGCACGGCAATGCTTCTAGCACGCTAGCCACTGGTGCACCTTGAGATCGGGCCTGGATTATGTAAAATCGCTCTACACCAAATTTGGTTGCAAGATTCTGCACAAAAGCGATCACTCCATCGCCGTCTAAGTCTACCCGGGCGAAATGGCGATCGATCAGGAGAAGACTTACATATGATTGCTCACATGCCATTGAATCTAATACACACAGGGGCCCAGATTTCTTGTTCTCCGTTATTCCTGTCTGACAATACTTTCGCCTGCAGGCCAAAGTATGTGCCACAGCCTCCGCGGTCTGTTCAAACGATCTACCTGGACTGCGTTTGTTGATCTCAAGCGCATGTTGAGCAGCATGGAAAGCTCCAAGGCCATTACATACACTGTTTCTTTGATGAAGAGCAACCACACATTGCAGCAATGCAGCAAAGAGAGTTCGGTCAGTCTGGGCAAAAGCAGGCACAATTTTTGTTTCCCAGCATCTGGACTCGTCATTTTTTCCTGACGTCAGCGCCTCTGAATCTTGCAGATTAAGCTCTATCTCCCTGACACAGCTAGAGGCAGCATTGCGAATGGAGCAGATTGGACCCTGCAACAATAACTGCCAGACTCTGGAGGCTGCGACTGCATTGTTCAGTGATGAGCTTTGTTTGTGTGTGTCTCCTAGCCCAAGGTCGATTCTGCTTAGGTGCCTTTGCACTGCCAAGCAACGAGCAGCTTCCACACTAAAGAGCAAGGTTGATAGAGTTGTTGGTAGGTGCGAAATGCTCTCGGTGAATGCGTCCATGATTTTCTTATTACCAAGTCTAGCAGCTAGTGTGATTGAGCTTGCTAAAATTTCAGCAGAGAGGTGCAGGCTGTGTGGAAAATGCATGAAATATACAGTTACGCGCGCGCTGGCGATATGCGCAGCTGCTCCAATTGCGCCAATTCCCATAGCATGGTAGACACTGTCCGCTCTAAGCAACCTTCTGTGAATTTCTGTCAAAGTCGATACCCGTGAAATAGCATCATGAAGATCTTTGACCAGCGCATCAAAGCGGATCGCATCGGCTGAAGTCGTCTCTGTGGCGCAAACAGCCTTTGGGGCGTGCAGCTTATTAAAGGGCTCTGGGCCATTTTGATTCTGAACAGCTCCATGGGTGTTTAAGAATTCAATAATCACATTTTCGGCGCTCAAAACATCCATAGTTCCACAATGCATCTTGATATTGGTGATTGATAGACTATTTGATTGGCTGGGTGCTAGTACAGTCACAGCAAGATGACCCAGGCAATCTCTCACGCTAATATCGTCGGTGAAAAAAGATATGATGTTGAATGTGCTTGCCACGACACTATTATCAAACGCGGCCTGGGAGATTGAAGTTATGATGTACAAACGAAATCCACAGCTTCCAGGTAAATGAGTAGGTCGTTTTCCCCCTCCGCTCCGCGGACAATGAGAAGTGGAGGTGAAGCACTCATCGAATAAAGTTGTGTCGACGCAGCAAGAAGGGAACTTGTCTATGTTTAATAGCAGCGGACATTGGAGAGAAGTTGATTTTAGTAGCATTGTGCGAATGCACAGCCCGGTAATCGGAGAGGCTTTCAGCAAGGTGGAAGATTCAACCGAACAAATCCATCGTGCGCCCACGCCGTCAGGATCAATGATGAGTGGCCAACGTAGAGCATGTACAGTTGCGAGGGCCAGACTCGCCGTGGATATTCCTCTAGGAAGCAGGCCTCGGACCCTCCATCCCATGACCAGAGCATCATCACCAGGAGAGGTGTGGGCATCCCGAAATACCAATCTTTCCGCAGATGCATCTGATAATTTCACGTGCAGAGAAGCTTCAAATGGGTATGTAAACGCTGCTCCGTTGATTGACAAAGGTGTGGCGGTTAGACCGTCCGCCGCTAAGCTGTCTTTTGCCGCCACGCATACAAGCATCCGTCCATTTGGTGCTTGTCTACTGCACGCAAAGCGAACATCGATGGCATGTATCATAGCATCTACGACAAGTGATCTTAGCCGTTCCTCTATTCCCTGCAACTGCTTCGACCAATGCGAAATCTCCATTGCAAGTAGACTCGACACTCGCTGCGACTCTAGGAAATGAGGCTCATCAACTTGACATTCACCAAATACGTTTTCCACATTAATCCCATTCGCGCACTCCAGCACTCTGCCAAGGAAACCATAGCCAGAGATAGCGCCCAATAGGCTGCGACGACGCGAAGTTAAAGTAAGGCGCCAGTCTGAAGCAATTGACGGTGTTGCATTGGCGACATCAAGTAAAGGCTGCAGAATATTCTTGATAGGGGTGATGGGATTCCGAGCAGCTGCGAAGGATGCTGCAACTGCCGCACGGCATAGCGGAGCACTTATTGTCGTCACGTCTAGATCCAGCTCCTTGGCTTTCCTTTCCAGAGAATCTGACATGGTCAAGGCGTAGTCCTCGGGGTTATGGGGGAGAGTGCAAATCACCTGAAGCGACGATTTCAAGGTCGGGTAGCTCGCCTGAATTATTTGTGCAAGTCCGGAGGGCGACCTTGGATCTGTGACAATCGAGATGAGGATTGTTGAGAACGATTTTCTTGCTAGAGCAAAACGCGCAGCATAGGGGAGAGCTTGAGCCTTGCCTTTCGTCGCAAATGCAGTGTCATATTCATCCCTTGCATTGCCCGTGGCTGCAGCCTGGCTAATGGGTTCCCTTTCTGAACCGCTGTCTGCTTTGGAGGTCGCCAAGGCGGTCCCTGCTTCTTTTGCACACTCGATATCAATCAGTGAGGCGCCAGAATGCAATGTGAATAGAGTTCCTT